TATCTTTATCTTTATCTTTATCTTTATCTTTACCTTTATCTGTATCTTTGACACCTCATATTTGAAAATCGAACGAAAGATACAGATCTGGTAACGCCGTGTTAAATATTTAACGCAAACATCTCTGAGCTCGATGAAGAAGTTTCACTTCAAAAACGCAACTGTTTATATATATATTACAAAAATATTTAACTCAAGTTAACTGAGTCAATGTAGGTACGGTGTCATCAATTCCATAATTATCGCTTAAATACTTGCTTATATTTAACTTGACAGTAAAGAAATCCTTCGCAAAAAAAAAAAATCAATATTTATCACTTTGAAACGCGTGTGTAGTAGATAATGCAAACAACCTTTAAAGCTTATTATTATTTCTACTTATTCGCGTATTTTCATGTTCTTATGACTTATGTAGGCATTCATTTTCCTTTCATCGGTGCACTTACCTGAAAATGCTCGGAACAATGTGTGCAGCCGAAAAAGTATTTCACATACCCATGTATGGCTGTTAGCACTTCTAGCGGATCGTTATTGACATCTCGACGCGCTGCTTGCACCGTAAGGTAATGGAAAAGTGTCCACAGCGAACAAGTATAGCCACGTTTGTTATGCTGAGAGGCCACACAGCCGACAAAGTGATTCGATGAGAATATGGGGCCGAAAGTCTTATTCAAATGTTCTACCTCGGATTGAAAATCGGCACCTTTCAACGATTCGTTTGTATTCAGCACATATTCGTTGATGCGTCGGATGACTTCATTGCCTTGTGGGCCAAGTGGATGATAGCGTTGCAATACGGCGAGCATACGCTGCAGTGCTAACAATTGTTCGCCGTGTATTTCATGCGCTTTTGGAAGTTCGTTGAATAACATTTGCCGTATGGCCATTTCTAGATCAGACTGAAAATAAAAAGAAAACAAAGTTTAAACAACTGTTTGTGCTAGAAGGTCGTGCGATATTGGGCACAAATAAAATACATACATATGTACATATTTAGATAATGAAGTTTAGCAAGTAGTTCTTAAGCAAAACACAAAACCGACTTCAATTCTCATATAAAAATACCAGATTAGTATGGGAGCACCTCTGAGACACTACCTTTCCGAATTATCGAAATCGGTTGACGACCAAGTTAAGCGGTAAAATACATAAAAAAAATATAATAAAAAAGTTTTCCGACGAACTGATAACCTCCTCCTTTTTTGGAAGTCGGTTAAAAATAGTTTCGTTCCTCAACTTTTCTGGATAAAACTTGGAAAAACTGTCAAAAAACAAAATTTCACACAGAGAATGAGACAAATACTAAAAAGTACGGGAAAGGTTTTCGGGTAAAAACTGATAATTATGTCGAATACATCGTAGACGCCATTTTTTATTTACATCGTCCTTGGTTGCATTTCAAACATAACACATTTTTACTGGCACGAGGGCCAGAAGATCCTATCTAAAAACTATTTTTTTAGTAATATGAGAAAGAAGGATCTATAAAAAATAAAGGCGGTATTTCATTAAAAAGTTCATTGCACCTACGTGATGCTACATATTTTATTAAAAGAATACTGAAGGGCGGTGCCTCGGACTATTACCGTTTCGATTATAATACTGTATTTTAACTTTTTTTGATATGTCAGTTAGGCTACTCTGGCCATCATGGCCTCATATACATACTCTTCTTATTTGTACTTTCTTCAACATACGCTTCCATTTCTATATCGATCAATCGATTACCTCTTAAATAATCTAAATTAAATAAATATACTTATCATTGAAATATTCAACAAAAAGTTGAACGAAAGCTGAACAATGCAAACGCTGCTTTAAGTAAACAAATCTTCTATAGATATATTTAATTCTTCACTCATACGTCTTAGATTAGATAGAGCGATCTGAAGCAGATACAAAATCGAATTATATACCAAATTAAAGTGCAATCCCCATAGGTTATCCAGAAGATTTCAATGCAGTGAAATAGGTGACAAAATATAAGCATTTTTTATAATTTTAACTACCGTTATCACAAACAATAGTATAATATTCAATAGTAAATAATTATTGTATGTGCAAAATGAATTATTCAGCTTCCGCAGCTCCAGTGTCAAAAATGTTCAACAGAAAAGTACACCAATGACTGTGTGGTAAAACCTTAAACAAAAAGAAGCTATTTTCATAATAAAAACCGTTATATTATTTTTCCATGATATAGTATGGCTACGGTGACCATCCGTTCTGTTTTTTGCAGGACCTTACTGTATTTCAAAGATCGGTCCTGCGTAGTTTCTCAAACCTGAAAAACCTGAAAATGTACTGAGTTTTTCCAAGTGTCCTGAATTTGTCCCGCATTTTATTCGTTATTTTAAAATTATCGGACAATGGATGGATTTTAAAAAAAAAATTGTTTTTTGGTACTTTTCGTAGCTTTTCTTCAATATCTCATCAAAAAATATCCCAATCAACGTAAGCGACTTACAGCTCGAAGGGTATTGATGTTACCAAAATATATAACTTGTGGCGACTTCAATGAAAATTATTAGTGCTACAGGCGACCATTTGCATTTTGTCGTCAAAATCGAAAAAAAGATATTTTCAATCAAATACGCATTTTCATTTGATTATTTTTTTCATTATTTTAAAAATTCGATAAGGAAGATATATCATTACAGTAAATTTTGAGCCAAAGATAATGAAAATCGGATTAGAAATGTAGATGCTATGGAGCGCAATCTGCACAAATTATATATTTTTGTAAAGGGCACTTTGTAACTCGTTGTTTACGTCGATTCATGACGTCGATTTTTAACAAATAACTGCGAAAAGTACCAAAAAATCAAAAAAAAGGATATTGTTTTCGTTTTGACAAACTCAAATTTGCCTATAAAATAATCTTTTAAAGGTTTCCACTTTTCGTGTAAGCTATTGTAATTATAATATGTTTTACTATACTTTTATAAATATTCATGTAAAAAAATATTAATATCGATGAAGAAAACGTGATTCATTTTTAAAGTTAAAAATGTATTAAGAATTTAGACTCATAAATCTTTTGATATTTTTATACTACGTAAATATGTGTAGGCATATTTTTGAAAAATTGTGCTTCATTTTGAATCCATATTTATGGTCACCGTAAGTATGGCCCATAATATCCCGTGGCATTAAACTATCTAAAGAAAAGCCCGGAAATATAACAGGAATGAATTTTTGTGGCATGAAAGGTAGCTACATAATTGCTGAAGTAATCAGATGAATTCCATTGAATCTGAAAAGGTTTAATTTAATTTATTACCAGTTTGATTTAATTTGAAAAAAGTTTCGTTTAATCTGAAACCGGTTTCATTTAATTTGAAAAAGGTTTCATTTAATTAAAAAAAATTCAAATGAACCTAGAAAAGTGTTTGCCTTTGCAGTTGTATTAAAAAAGTTTACATTTACATATGTACTTACATACAGCTATGGACAATGATTTAGCGCAAAAATTATAAATTCTAACAAGTAATTTGTCTCATATAAAATTTAAGATTATCGTTATTTTCCTCAAAATCCATTTATCGGATTATTAAAAATAAACATAAGCTACAATGAATATCATTTTCAATTTCGATGCTAAATCACTGACTATAGCTGTATATATACATAACTTGAAGAAATAATTCAATTAATTCTTTCAACTTGAGTATTTTTCATATAAAATATAAAGTTTTTGCGTTGATTTAAAAAAATCATGATTGAATTATTTTCATTGGTTCACGAGTAATAAATATTTGAGGAAATTCACACATTATTGTTGGAGTGAAATCATAGTTATAAATAATGCGGCAGTTGCAATCACCACCTGTTCTAAAAATGCATTTTCGAGCTTTTGCGTTTATGAATTATGGGTAATTATTTTAACGTGAAAATGTCGTAAACTCATGTCATAGCTAGCATTTTTTATACGATAGTACAAATTGCCAACAATAACTCTAACTTACATTTAGCGTTATGCTTAGCTTAAAAACAGTAATAAATATGTATATTATATCTAAGCATGTTGGTATTTAATACTATGTATGTATGTAAGTATGTCCGCATTCGGAATTTTTTACATTCGTAAATATATACATATGCATGTATGTATGTACATGCATGATTTTAAACTGAATTTAATGAATGATATACTAATTTACGACAAATTATTTGAAAATGTTTTTTACGATATGAAAACTACGCATCTATTGTATAATTATTAATTGACGTTTAGATTTACTAAATAGAGAATTTTACGATAATTGCTTTATTATTTGAGTGTAACATGCACACGTACATATGTAAATATGTATGTATGTATGCATGTACACATTGTCAACTGAAATGCAAAAAGACGTAACAAACATCGTCGGTGAAATGCTAAAGTCCTAACTAACCAAAAATTAAAAATTCACTTTTTAATTGATTTCATCGAATTACAACTTCACACTTCGTTTTATGAAAAAAAAATGTATTAGTCACGGCTTTTTGCATCTCAGGTGACGATATATTTCGCTCATGGGTGTGCCAGGAAACGCGTTTAAAATTTTAAATTTCAATTTAGCACGAATTTTTTACACTATATACTTAGCACTTTTGGCTTGGGCTAGTACCGCTGGTTTCTAATTAAAGGGTAATTGCTTCAAATTGTTCTCTTATATATACATATGTATGTGTTTATATATTTATAGCAAATACAATCAATGTTCACTACCTTTTGAGAACCATTGCGAAAGCAGTGAAAGTATAATATTTTACTATGGTATTACTTGACAAGTAAGTATAGCATTTTTGTTGTTTTTATATAAAAAAAAATATTATTATTATTTTTGCTTGTATTTTTTTAGAATTGTTTGGATCTCCGTGCTGCTGAATACATGCAAAAGTTTTTTCAATCTTTATAGAATACAAAGATTGTACCAGGTTAAGATCCATCTGGTCCCATTCTTCTATCGCACCATGTTCTCAGTGCTTCTAAGTTTTTTAATTGTGACGTTTCTTCACAAACACTTTTGATTAGAATTCCAGAGGGAGTCTATATTGCCACTTTCGCTGACGACTATTGGATAATGGCGTCTGGGAACTTGTGCTCGAAAGTAAACAGCTATCTCTCCGAGCTTTTTTGCATCTTCACTGCAAGGAGCCAAATCCTCTTTCCTACAAAATCCACGGCAACCTTATGCGCCACTTGGACGGCGGAGGTCAGACTGCAGCTGAGTATTCACGTCGATGGCGAATCAATTCCGACGGTGAATAACCCAAAAATCCTCGGAGTTACCTTCGACAGTCTGCTCTCCTTCTCAGCGCATACAACCGCAATTGTCAACAGAGTACAGAGCCGCAACAAGGTCCTCAAGTCGCTGACCGGAAGCATTTGGGGCAAAGACAAAGAAACGTGGTTGGCAACATACAAGACAATTGCTGCGCCTATGTGGACAGGCGACAGGACAACAACAACATAGCCGCAACATAACCTGCACGACGAGGCCCGTATGCTCCCAATTAAGGAGCATAACACAATGCTCTGCGAGCAATTCCTAGTAAGGTGTCAACCTTCTAAGGTGGAACCCATGTGATGGCACATCAGAAGGAATCTATATGAATTGACGGACGAAGTCCAGAGGTTCATAAAACAACCTCTGGAACCGACAGCTCACCGACAGGCCATGACGGCAACTTCGCTCTGGCTATTGCAGCAGGCTAAACTCACATCTGAGTTGAATTAACGAAGATGTGCCCAATCATTGCCCAGCATGCGGTGAGTCGCCACATGACTCACGGCACTTCTTTGCATGCCCTCAAAACCCCGCACAGCTAACGACCCTGTCCCTATGGACAGCCCCTGTCGAAGTCATGCCTTCCCTTAGCTGAAGCAGACAACAACGTAGATGGATGA